GTTGTTCTAGTAGCAGAAGTGCTATCGGAAACCCGTAACGCGACAACTTTTTACAGCGCAACTTAATCCTACAACTGTAGATGAGCTCCCGCACAACAGCGTCAAGTAACGTCGGAATCATTCGTCGAGACCAACCGGTTAATTGGCTCCCGCTAACCACCGTCCCGTACCCTATTTTCACACGAGGGGTTAATCTCAGACACGTGTAGACTGCGTGCCCCGGTGGACTGCGTGCAAAAACCGTGTAGAGTCTATAAGTTTGTTCTTCGAAAACTCGGTGTACGTTAACTACTTTAAAGGGTTAAAAAACTTCATTGTTTGATAGCTATTGCCTCTTCGTCAGATCGATCAGTTTAATGAACGCTTTAGCGACACCCTCTTGATAAAAGGCAGGCGCAACTGACACATGCCCTCAACGGAGATGGTGAAGTAGTTGTCTACGTGGGAGTTAAAGAAGTAGGCTAAACTAATGTTATCGGAGTTATCAGAAGAAGGATAATAAGAAGCGAACAAACCTCTGTAAAAACTTTAAAAACAATCGGAGCGCGCACTCAAAACGAAGAAGAAAGAATTATGTGAAGGTGAGAAAGAATCGTCGAGAGAGGAGAGCAAATTATCGAATTCGTCGGAATGCAAGAAATTCTTCGACAAAGAAGAGTCGAAAGAGGAAAAAGAATGCGACGAAAAGGACAAGAAAGAGAAAGAAATACTATGCGCATCGAAGAAGAAAGAGGGCACGCGCTAGTGCACGAATAATCTGAAACAAACCCGATATTTTTTACCGGTATGGTAGGAGTCCACGCACTTCAAACTCCAGATCGCCGAATCTTACGATTGCTGCGAAGACGAGTTATTTGTCTCGCAAAAGATCCGAAAACTGAACGTTAAACTCTTCATGCGTGAGGCAGTAATCCACCAATTAATAGACCACCTCGAAGACCCTGAAGAATAGTACATATAATACTTATCAGAAAAAATCTTCGAAGAGTTACGCAAAGGTCAGAGGTTGCGAATCCTATCTTCAATTCCTGAATGAATTACTTCCAGACAATAGAACTCCTCATCATTTTGCGAAATTTTGCAAGATCCCTAGGATATCCTATTCCGGTTGGAAGAAGGTGGATCTCTCATATAAAAAAATGCATTATCGGAATGGGGTGCGTCGGATTTTGTACGCTTTCTTCAGAGAAAAATTCTCGAATGTTTTAGGAATTATTAATACCTCTTTGAAGAACTAAAGCAGTGACATGCGACATCGATTTCCCGATTTATCATTCTGTAGGTCTCCAACATCCGATACACAACTTATTCCACCTTTTTATCGATTCTCCTAAGATAATCGCAGTATCATGAATTACTTGAAATATCAATGTACTCTCGATATCGATAATTCTTATTCTTCGGACATGAAAGCAATTCGAAAACGAAATCAGAGAAATAGTTTACATAATTATTCAGTACACATCGGCTAAAACAGCAATCAAATGAATGAATCTCTATTCCATTTCATCGTGAAAACGAGAATACCTAACATTAGGACATCGATCCATAGGACGTGCAAAGATGATTGACGAACTATCTACTCCGAACCGCTACCTCTTCAAGGCAGTCGCATCTATCGCGGTTAATTCCATTAGGTGAGAGTTAAAGGTAGGACCTCCGCAACAAACTCCGATCAGAGAAATATAAATACGGTCCTCTTTATAGAGAACGGAAAGACATCATATGATTCGTATTTCAGAAAACATAAATATAATATGTATACACGACAAAGATAGAGTATAACAACTTAAAAAGAAACGTATTCGAGTTTTATATCCCACATAAACTTGCGATTCAACCGCCTAAATGCAGGGGATAGCTAAGATGATGGCATTCACATATATTAGAGAAATCTTATCGCGAGAGAGGTCGCGACTCAGATGAAGGAAAGATCGAATAGAAGTGATGCCGCTTAGAGGAAGCGTTTCAATGCATTGTAGAATAAACTTCCACCATTAGGGGACCGCCGTTCGAATAAATATATCAATTAGTCTTGAGAGCTAACAAGAAGAGTACCTCCAGAATAAACCGTCGTACTTCAAGAGTATTTATAACAGAAGTTTCCTTACTAACGTAACTAAGAAAAGACTTCCATTACTGACGAATTTATGTATTAGAAGAACGATACTATCGATCCTGTGAAAAAAAAGTACAAGCCGCCGCTGCCAGACGCCAGAGAACCGCCGAACTGGGACCCCCTGCCCATCCACAACGCGACCGAGCGCGGTCATGCAAACCTTCCTGCAGGCGTTAACAAGGAAAGCCCAATTGATCTCTTCAAGCTATTCTTTACCGATAATAAAGTGGATGAGCTTTGTGTTTACACGAATCGCAATGCCGAGATTGCTCGAGCAGCGGCTAAAGAGACGGAGCTGCACCGGCGTCGGCCGTGGCATCCAGTTAATAGGGAGGAGATGTATGCGTATTTTGCTACGCTTATACATATGGGGATACACCAAGAACCACGCGTTAGCGACTACTGGAGGACTAGCGAGCGTTTTGGCATTAAACACCGCGTAGGAGAGTTTATTGGACGCGTTAGGTTCGAGCAAATTGATCGATACTTCTATTATACGAAACCTCGTGAAGATGGCTGAGATCTACCTTTCCAAAACACCTTTGAGCGCGTGTGGGAGTTATCTGAGCACCTACGTAGTTGCTCACAGAGATATTGGACGCCTGGAAAGAATTTAGCAGTTAATGAGTCTATGCAGCGATTTACAGGTAGAGCGCGAGAGATTACTACAATTGGATGCAAGGCTGCTCCTACTGGGTTTAAAATATGGATGCTAGGCGACTCAGGGTACATTCTAAACTGGCTGTTCCATTCAAAAGGTACAGGAAAAGAGGCAGGGCCATACAAAATTGACCCCTAGTGGCAGGAGGAAGGGTTTTCAGCAACTGCTGCAGTCGTCCTCCACATGGCCTGCGATTACTATAGGCATGAGCGTCTCCTACCGCCTGGCAAGCATATAATATGGCTTGATAACCTTTTCACGTCTGTTAGGGTCCTAGAGAGACTTCGGCAGGAGGGGATTGGTGGTGCTGGCACAGTACGAACGACGAAGACACCCCGGGAGAAAAAGGTAGAGAACGCTAAGAAAAAAGCCACTAAGGATTCTAAAAAGACTCTATCCCAGGACACCCAGCCTACCTTAGAAGGTGAGCTAAGCAGGTACCACTAGACCCTAATAGACACACCCAAGGTAACTTGACAGTAGAGGACCCTGTTGAGACGTTCTCAGAAGACCTTATAAATGTGAGGCTCTATTATCGAGACTCAATTGAATGGGGCACTACGTACTACAAAGCGTCAAAGAACAAGACTATAGGCCAGTTTGCGTGGCGGGATAACAACATAGTCCTCTTTGCTAGCTCTATTGGCAATCTAGCAGCAACTGTTATACGAAAACGTAATAGACCTAGCAAAACTCGTACAGGCGCTGTCAAAACAAGGAAGGTGTTCAGAGACGCAATCTCTAAGGATTTACCTATCCCAGAGCTTATTGATTTGTACAACCATTTTATGAACGCTGTTGATCGCTTTGATCAATTAAAGTCGTACTACACTACCCTACGGAGCCACAGGAAGACATGGCGAGCGCTTTTCCAACTCTTGTTTGACATAACCTTGGTGAATTGCTACAAGCTTTAAACGCTATCCAGCGTGGCCAACAGTCCGTAGAGCGTAATTACGGATGCATTCGAGAGATGAATACGGTCGGTATTAGAGCTACGATACTATTGTACAAAGACGAGAATCGTACGCTACGCAGCGTAATACGTACACCGTAGGAGACCGTATACTGTACCTATTTTTAGTCAATCTCGAGAAGAACTGGAGCTGGTTTCTCAAGGCCTTTGATCACAGCTTCGAGATCGCGGAGATGGCTGTTGACGACCTCATTGCGCAGCCAATTCTTCTGTAGCTGTAGTGCCTCGATCGTTGATGCCCCTAGCTGGTTCCTGTCGTCGGTGATGGTCCTCTTAGCAGTGCTGAAGGCTCTCTCACAGTCGCATGAGGTGCAAGGTATCGAGAGATAATCAAGGGCAATCTTGAAGAGCGTAGGATACTCCTTACAGCCAACCTGACGCCACCAAAGTAGCGGATGGTTGATTAGAGGATCCTTCTCCCGCGGATCGATAGCAGCAAGGTCTTCGGCTAAGGCGGCGTAGTACAGCTCGAGCTCGTTGACCTTTCTCGCACGCTTATGGCCCTTGTGGCCGGTGAGTAGAGAGAGATTGACATCTATTGTTTTCACCCAGCGATTGTCGTGGGTATCAGTAGGAAGCTTTTGACGTAGCGGCTGTGAAAGAAGCTCATCTCGAGGCTCGCGAGCCTCATCCTCGGCATCCAAGTATTGACGAAAGATCTCTCTCATGGAGAGCTCGGCCTTCTTGTGCCAGGTAGGGTGCTTTCGCCAGTGGTCCTTGAACCACGAGAGACGAAGCTTTGGATGAAGGATAGTTGCCACGGCATAAGAACTAACCTCAGGTTCGAGAATTAGCTTGCCCCAGTACGTTGTAAGGACAGTTTGACCATATGCCACGCAGCTGCGGAGGTAGCACTCGTTAGGGTAAGTAGTATACACCTTGGCCTTCTCGCGCAGCTATTCCTCGAGTAGCTGCAAGCTGACAATTGTCTGCCAGAGAGAGCTGTACCCGGATTTTGAAGCGTTGCCTTCTAGGCGCAAGGTCATCTTATAGAACATCTCCAGGTATTAGCAGAGCTCAAAGACCTCATCCCATTCACCCTCATCGATAGTATCTCGCAGAGGATTATAACTGTTATCTTCTTCTTCATTATACGCACAGTCACTACAAAGCTTACGGATGAACCTATTAATAGGTTCTTTAAGCTCTTAGCAGCAGAAAAGCATTAGATAGACAGAGTACCAGCATACGCTGCCGTCTTACTGTAGATTAAAAGTGCCAAAGCTCCAGAGAGAGTCCTTATTAGTAAGCTCTTTCTATACAAATAGGAAGAGCTCACGGCGCTTGTTGGATACCAGAACTAAGTTAACAAAGTTATAGAGCTTTCTAATGACCCTATACTTTCAATAGAGCTCGAATTGCTCGCGGGAAACTGCTTAAGCAAGCTCCTACTCAAATTTGCCTAATCCTTTACCATATAGAGAGCCTTTGATAATAAGGTTAATGATATGGCCTGCATAGTAAATTCGCGCTGGCATTAACAGGTTATGCTCTAGAGCTTCGTTCAACCTAGTAATAAGCTTATTTCTATTATTTAAAACATTATCTCCGACAAAGGCATGAAATCAGCAGACAATAAAGTATTCTTAAAGTACAGTAGCGATAATATGAGCTTGATTAGCTATAGAGTAATTACTAAAGAGCTAGCAGAAGACAATAAGCAGGTCACGCTATTAATACTCAAAGTCTATCAGAAATTTAAAATCAGTACGTTATACCCAAAATTGGTATCTCTAAACTAATTAAAGGAAGTGCTAAATTTAGGATAGTTAAGGAATTAAACTTACCTATAAAGTACACAACAACGGCTATGAATGATAGATAGTTACCAAATAACCAGATGTTAACACTTACAGATATCTTACTATAAGAGCTCTGTAATAACGCCTTAATCTCCTTCCTACAGTCCTCAAGAGTTGCCTTAATGTAACTAGAGAGTGTTATTTTACTAGACGGCAGCGCGGCGAGAAGCTTAAGTCAATTCCAAGTAAATAACGCCCTAGTAGCCGTCAAGGTGGCATCGCGGAAGCTCATATTCTTTAGAATTATCTAGTTAACTAAAGCGCTTTGCAAAGCTCCCTCAGCCTACAGCTGCTTTAAGAAAGCTCAATTGGCTCCAGCTACATCCTTTACAATTTCCCATAGGTTCACTGGAGGTCTTAATGGATCTACTATCAAGCTGCCGTCAACAGCAATCCGATGGACGTTCTTTAGGTGCTCTACAATATAGTGAGTGCTGTTGTACATCTTGGCATCTCCTCTGACCTTCTATAGGTGACAAGCCTTGCAAAGCCAAATCCGCGAGCTCTTATTATTCGCCTCAAGATACTATAGCTCTGCGCCGTACTTCCAGATCACTGAGGCTTCGCGGCCACCTCAAAGCTGACTCTTGTGTTTCACCCAGTATCCAAGCCGATGAGACGCTAGCCTCTCAGTGCTGCTACGCCAGATGTGCTCCCAATCAATCTCGAACGCGATGCCAGAGTTAAACAAGCCATCGTCAGGATACTCATGAGAGAAGGATGCGCAGGGCGAGCTTTGTGGGCTCTCAGCTGGTGATGAAGGTGACGCGCCCGGAGTTGCTGCTTGGGCGCGAGTGAGCTGTTTGGAAGCAGCAGAGTGATACGGCTGCCAGGGCTCCTTTCCCTTACTGCTGCTCAAAGCTTGAGAGGCGGAAACACGCTGAGATGTACGTACGAACTTCTCCATTGCTGACGGACTCATGCTGATGAAGATGAGGAGGAAAAGTAGGTGCAATTGTGCGCGAAAAGCTCTGTTTGTTACACCGTCGAAGCCACTGTTACACTGCGTCGATTGACCATCAAAACAACGCGTCAACGCCTCTGCGCAAGCTCCTTGACAATGGCCTCGAAAATCGGATGAAAATAGGCTCCCCTCACCACCAAGGGCATCGACAAGCTGTCCGTATACGCCGTATACGATTGCAAGAGATGTACGCTACTTACGGCAACCTAACGAGCTACGATAGTATTGTGGACACAAAACGTACGAAACGTAGCGTACGAACAGTCCTACGGACTGTTGGCCACGCTGACGCTATCTCACAAGACTAAGGCATCTGGCCACAGGGCCTTTCTCCTTGAGCTAGTTTGCCAGCTCCAGAACCTATCAACACGCCAGGCAAAGCAGCATGTAAATCGCCCACAGTTAGTAGGGGTCAATTCTCAGCCTGTGAGTGATCACCAGCAGGAAAAGATGTACAATTCAAGCCGGCCCTGTGCTGCCTGTGCTGCTAAAGGCCGACGGGCAACTACGAAAAGGTTTCCGCTAGGAGAACTATCTCCGTCAGAGCTCAATTCACAGAAGGCGCGATCTAAAAGGACTACCTTTGGCTGCTTCCAATGTAGAATTCCCTTATGTGAACCAAAGCAAGGACCCTGTTGGGCGGAGCATCTCCAACAGGTGCAGCTGCAGCTTAAACTACTTATAGAATAGTCCTCTACTCTACCTGGAAACTGTTCGCTATAGCAACCTACATATATTTTAATAGCCTCACATAAGAACTGGCCATCTAATTGCTCTATACATAGTGTTTTTGGGACAATTCTCATACAAATTTGGTGAGGGCAATCCATCGAGAATATGGCCCGAGCAATCATCCGATTGGCTAATTAACCGAGGGCGATTGGTGGCAGGGCATGGGATAATGCTGTACGATGGTGACGTTTAATTTTAGATCGCCAAGTCCTACGATGCTCCGCAGCCTCTTTAACTTTCGGTCTTTTTTAGCCCGACTTGCATCCAGAATGTCGTGATCCCCAATTGTTTAGTGAAAAGACGTTAAAGGCACATTCCAATCTGAAAATGCCAACGTACAATGCAACGGACAAAGTTTACGACATCGTCGTGGTTGGGGCCGGCGTTGCTGGATCGGCGACAGCGACACGTTCGCACGCTATGGATACGAAGTCCTTCTCTTGAAACACAGCTTGAAAGAGCCAGACCGTATCTTGGCGAGGTTATGCAACCCGGCAGAGTCGCTGCGCTCGAAGAGCTTGGACTAGGCACGTATCTCGATGATATTGACTCCATTCCTGTGCGAGGCAATCACATCTACTGGAAACGCGAAGAGGTAACTTTCTCGTATCCTCCCAAGCCTGGCTGTTCATAGAGACAGAGAAACGATGGTGTTTCTTCCGATGCTTGGGTTCAAATAACGGAACGGCCGGGGAGAGCGGAAGGAAGAAGCTTCCACCATGGCAGGTTCGTCTCCAAACTCCGCAATGCCGCGCAACGTGAAGGGGAAACTACAGAGGTGAAAAGCGCCGTGATTTGTCTTCTGAAGAACGACCAACCTAGGCAACCATTAGGGTTGAATGCTTGG